ATCCTGAACTCCACCAACTCATGGTCACTGCAGCCGAGGCTACCCCGACCTTAACATCTCCTACAAGGCCCTCCCTATTTGATAGCACGAGGTCCACCTCTCCTCGTCGGCTCCTCCGCAACCTGCGTCAAAAAGGTATTGTTATTTACCTTTGTCTTCAGTAAGAAAGTTGTTGGCGGTTGTTTGATTCTTCCTGTCAGAAGGTTCAAATTGTTTATCGTGTTGCCAAACTTTAAATAGGCTTAACATTTCGAAAAAGATCTCAAAAACTTGAAACTCGTAACGCTCAGCTGTCCGAGTTCTGGTTTGTTGGTCGTGACTGAAGTCTCCAGGCAGTTGCCTTCCGTGGAGCGTCGCCTCCCCTTGGCGCATCGCGCGGTCACAGGACTGTCGCTGTCCCAGCTACGCGGAGCCGCTGCAACAGCCCTGTTGTAGCCCAGCGCTGTGTCATGTAGCAGCCCTTCAGAAGCTTAGTGTTCAGTCCCACCAGGACCGCCTCCGGAGTTGGGAATCTGGAGGTGGGGTTTTTGTTACTCTTTTTGTAACTCTCTCTGTAAATCGGTTTTGTTATAGAGCAGTTGGAACTGCTGGCTTTATAAACACAGTCCTCAGAACACTTTTTTCAACATAGTTAGAGGAAGAATGGAGAAAACAAACACATAAACTTAATGTGCACTTTATAGGTATTTATTTTGATAAAGATGAACACAATGTATGAATACTGTCCTGAGAGTAACAGAAAATTGTCCCTTTAGGTAGCTTTATTAACTTGCAAAACCATTAGAATTGTGTTTTATTTTCCAGTGTTTTAATGAGGCAAAACCGAAAAGGATTTAGAGTTCTGAAAACCATGAAGACCGCCTCCTTTTATCACCATGGTAAGGTGAAAATGGAGATGGAGTGGAAACTTTATCTGCTTTTAAATGGGGCAGAACACCTCCAATTCTGCTCAACAGACTGGATTATCACCTCGTTGTGGGAATAAACAGCCTCACTTTAACAGCTATTAGCATCTACTGTAGATTTTTCCATACAGAATTCCAGCTCATTCTGTGGCCGATGAGTGAAAATATGCTGCGGAGGAAGTTTCAAAGAAGCGTTTGCTTTAAAAACAAATGCTGATATTAGATGAGGTGGAGTCAATGTCTTGCTGTTTGGTAATATTTGGCTGTACTTTCAATTTTTCTCCTCCTGTTTAGAAACTTGCAGTAAACATTTTAAAGACGAGGGAACATTCTTACCAGTAACTGAGAACTGAAATGTCTCCTGCCACCCCTCACAAGCTACTTGTGATACCCAGATCATGTCACTCAACTTTTGAGGATAGTTTAGTGTCTTGGTGCAGCTGCCAGAAGGAAATAAAAAGGTTTAAGACAAGAATATAAAAGAGATAGGGACTTGGGATAAATGTTACCAGCTTAGCTGTTATTTTAATGCTGTGCAGACTGAAGGAGACATGTGCATTGACAAAGGCGCTTTACATTTTGCCAGGTGTTGGTATAATATTTTATAGAATTAGTTCTGTGAATTCTCATGGTAAGTGTTCTCTCTTGTAGTTTAACATCTTCTTATGCAACTTTTGTTCTTTGGACTGTGTGTGAAGGTTATCTGAAATTTTGTGAAGTAATGCCCATCTTGTCGTTCTTTTGGCTTTTTTTTAACTCTTGTGGTGCCATCTCAGGGCCTAAGAGGTTTGTGCTCCTGTTTCATAAGGCATTCAAAAGGTTGATTACAAATTTTGGGAGAGACTTAGAAAATGTTCCATAAGATTGGAGCTTATTTAAAACATACTCAAAAGTCATCAGAACTTTTCTTGGGGAAAATAAATGGGTTTCACCTGGTTTATGTACTTTATGGTTAAAATAAACTTCTTGAGGAAAAGATGGAATTTTAGAGCTTATTAATTTAAACTTCCCATTCTGAAAGCCCAGCATTTGTCTGTGAACACATTATCTCTGATCCCCTGGGCATAGGCATGTGCTGGGTGTGGGTAGTGTGTGTCCCTGGAAATGAAACTGTCCTAAGGCTTCTCTTCAGAAACTTGTGCAGTAGTAAGTACACAGACTGGAAGAGAACAGGTCAGTAAAAAATGCAGTGCAGCTCAGCTGAGAAAGCGTGGCTGGAAATGCAATAAGAAGTTAATAAAAAAAAAACAAAGAGCTATAGGCCATGCA